AAACATTACTAATTCGATGGTAAAAACCTCGTAAAATTGCAAATAAGGTAAATTACACCATGTAAAATTAATGGCAAATAATTTTAGATTAGGGATATCATAAATTATTAATAGTTCTGGTCTGAAAAATGTCAGCCTGTAGTTCTGGGAGGTTTTAAACAGAATTATAAATTTTGATAGAAATTACAATCTTTTGTTACCTGTATCATTTAAAATTAGCATTTGTTTAAAAAACAGATTGTCCCCCAACTTTCCCATTGTTTGTGTTTTTGGTGGCTTGAAAATACAGATGAGCATTTCAGCACAAATTTTATTAGAGTACATAACTAAAGTACCCACGTAAATAGATATTAATGAATAGTCTTCTCTATCTCCTATCATTAGATCATGAGGAAAAATTAATAACAAAATACGAAACGCCAAGAAACAGACACATTAGTGATATAACCTGAATTTATGAAATTCTTGTTAAAGCAGACACCTACAATTTGAAATAAATTTGACAAGGAGTGGAAGGATAAAGCACAAAAGATGAAAGCACTCTTGTGCCAAACATGCTTTCTTTCATTTGGGTTATAATTTTGAAGCTGAATTGAAACTTTCTAGTAGATTTTTTTAGGAAATCTTTATTTTTATTCTATTAAGCGGAAAACCAAAAAGTGAATAAGATACAGGTACATACACTGTTGGGTGATCAAATAGACCATATTTAAACAAAAAATCTCAAATATTTGTTTCCAGCTTTACCACGTTATTCCAATTTTTTCACTTTTTTATAACAATACAAGGGTTCACAAAAAATCCCAACAACATTAAGTTAAGATCTGTGCTGTAATATTTTGTGGAGACATAAACAGAAGTACGGGCTTTGTTATGGTATCAATTAAATAAAACTTTAATATACAGAGTATTTAAAAAAATACTTCAGAATAATTTTCAAATATCGATATTTCAGTTGTTTCAAATATATAGGTTACATATACAGGGTCACTAGAATGTATGGAAACGATTAAATATCTTGAGAACCAATTGTATAAATCAACTGAAATTAAGTATAGGGGCACAAGAAGTTGCGCTCCAATTATTCGTCATAAACATTTTTTTTTTATTCATTTGTTTTCGATATGTAAGGTCGAATTGATTTTTTCTTGAAGGCACGAGGGGTCAAATTTAATATTTTTTAAAAAGCATTTTTTCTGCATTCAGTAATGTAACACACTTTCTTTATTTGCTGTAAAAGACAAAAAAAAATTGGTCCAAAGTTGTTTCGACAGAACTTCGCTCGCTCCTGAAATAATTTTTTTGAGTCACCCTATATGGATACGCAAATCCAAAAAATATTAATGGAATGATTAATCACAAGTACAGACTCATCATATTTTGTACATTTTAGATAGGATTTATTCAGCAAAATTTTGGGGTGACGTTATCGTCATCAAAAATTTACCGTGCTTATGATAACTTTCAAACATTTTCAAGATTTCAAAACATTCGGTTTTGTAGTTCCTGATTAAATCAATAAAATAAATTTACGCATTCATTAATTCTTTTTAATCACCCTGTATATGCAAATTCAAAAATTTTAATGGATTGATAAATTACAAGTGCCTACAGACTCATCATATTCTGTACATTTTAGATAGAATTTATTCGGCAAACTTTTGAGCTGACGTCATCAATTTTTTGGAGGGGATAAGCAAATATATTTTGACTAAAAATTTATTATGCTCTTTATAACCTTAAAACATCTGCGAGATTTCAAAGCATTCGGTTTAGCAGATTCTAAATTAAATTGCAAAATGTTGTTTTATAATTTTGATTTTTTTTTTCCAAAAATCTGGACATTTCGGGTAAAAACTCTGTTCGGAATCATAAATTACATGTTTGTGACTATGTTACTTTATACAATTTAAAACCCATTTGCTATGTACAATTTTGAAGTGACGTCATTGCATTAGTGGTGGGGATAATTAGACAAATTTTGGTTAGCGTTTTACCATCTACATGAAATTCCTAATATAAATACAAAATTTCACAATAATCGGTCTAGTACTTTCGGAGATTATCTGTGTAATAAAAATCCGTGACGCTAGACAGACGGAGAGACAGACAGACGGACAGACGGACAGACGGACATACGGGCAGACGGACAGACGGACAGGCGGGCAGACGGACAGACGGACAGACGGACAGATGGACAAACGGACAGACATACAGACGGAAACGGGAGACCTATTTCTTCGTCCTGTAGGGGTCATGAAAGGTCGAGAAAACGTAAAAGTCGGGAGTCGGCGGACGGACTCGATTACAATACTTCCTTTGCTTACGCTCGGGAAGTAAAAAGAACAAAAAACAGAATAACATGAAGTAATAAAACATATTTAGGTTGTTCTATTTGAAAAAAGTGAAATATCGATAATTCAAAATGTGTTTTTTTTATAAACGCTTTGTGTAAAACACAATTTTATTTACTACATTAAAGTGGGTATCTCTCCAAAAAATTTTGTAACCTAGTTTTTAAAAATAACCCTATTGCGATTTTTTTTTGTTGTATGGTTAAAAATTTCGAGAAAATTGAAATACCTTGGCAACGTCGCATCGGAATTTCAAAAATAAACTATTGTTATAGAAGCTACGAAGAGGTGAATCAGAATATATAAAAAATATGTTGGGTACTCTATTTGAAAAAACTAAGTTGTGTTGTGTTTTATAGTTCTTAAAACAGAACACTTTGAGGTATAGCTGTAGTTATAGGACAAAAAATTGCTTAAAGTTGTTAGGCTTTATTTAAAATTCCCATGTTCCTGAGGTACACTCTAACAAAAATTGCACAATTTTTATATACATATTTAATGATAGCCTTAATGACTTAAAATATAAATAGTCATATTGTAACAAAAAAACTGATCTACATTCTACTGTTATTAGATGTTATTATAGAATTTGAACTTTTTTTGGAAAAATCTGAATGCAAAATTTTATTGTAACGTCATTAAATTGTTGGCGGGAATAATTAGACAAGTTTTACAATGTATACGATATTCCTAATCGGTGCAGTAGTTTCGGAGATCATCTGTTTAATAAATATCGAAACACGATAGACAGAGACAGGCAGATAGACAGACGCAAACGGGCGACTTATTTTTTAGTAGTATATTCTAGGGGCCCTGAAACGCCGAGAAAACAGAAAAGTAGCCATTCGCCGGCTAGACCCTATTGCAATACTTCCTTAGCTTACGGTTGAGAAATAAAAATATAACTGAAGTTTTTAGCAAATTTGCAAACAAAAAAAGTACTAGTACTATATAATTAACAAAATGCTGTTTGTTCATGACAACTTTTATTATTATAACGATCACTGTATTCTCAAAATTTATTTCCAATGATTATTATTTTGTTTGCGTATAGCTGATTCAAAATATTTATTCATATATAGGATGAGTCACAAAGGGTGCGTTTCTCGGAGTTCCATTAATTATTATTATTAGAATTAGAAAAAATAGTCAAAAGTTAAATTTGTACGGTTCTTTGCGGACTCTATTTTTAAATTATTTTTAACTCTACAAATTGTTCTGTTTTTAAGCCTTAACACAAAACTTCGTTTTTTTTTTTATGAAATATCCCCTATATTTTTACGTATTTCGATCGGTCTGATCTCAGGCTTTACAACTGCAGTTTATTTTTGAAATACCGATGCGACGTTGTCACGTTATTCCAATTATTATTTATCAGATTGTAATATCTCCGTTATTAACAGATTTACAGTTTTGAACTTTTAAATATATGTTGTTCATAACTTTCTTTATATAACGGAAGAGCAATTTTGTTAAAAACGATTTGTGATCATACTTTTCTTTTGACTTTAGTGAAATTTTTGCATAACGAATTTTTTAAAATCAATATCTCAGTTATTAAAGGAAATTGCACAACACAATTTTCAACACTGTTTTCAGCTTACAAAACTCCAGAAATCGTATTAGAAATATCGTCGACTTTTTTTGTTAGAAACGATACACAATAAAAAAAAAACTTGTGTCGTAGAAGTTGCTAATCTTTATTTTTACTATATCTCAGTTCCAACAAATAAAGTCAAAAATAAATCTGGTGCGATTTCTAAAGTTTTGCAAACTGAAAACAGTGGTGAAAACCCCGTTCCAAAATTTCCATAAATAATTGAAATATTGATTTTTTAAAATACGTGATGCAAATATTTCAACAAAATTTAAAAAATATATGTTAACAAACTAACAAAAAAGTTGTGGACAAGTTACATTTAAAATTTCATAACAATAAGTGTGTTAATAATGGACATATAACATTTTGAAAATATATTGAAAATATCGATATATGAAAAAATTCAAAATTTACTCCGAATTGTTTTACATGACCGAGCTTTTTTGTTGAATTTCATTGCGCTGCTTTTTTTATAAACTTCTTCCAAATTTGACAGATGGTTACATTTTTTCTTAATTCTAGCTGAACAATAAAGCGCTAAAAGTCAAAACAAAAATACAACTTCGGGAAAAACACTATTACGTAAAAATGCGTCATAAATCGTATCAGTGAATGTAACGTTGTACTACAAGTCCGATAAAAATTTAATTGTGCTTTTAAGTATATCCTGTAACAGTCTTAAAAAACATTCTGATTAACTTATAATGTTTGTTTTGCATTGAACTTCAAAGTTTTTATGATAAAACTTGGTTATTACGGAAAATTCACTCTAATACACGTTATGCCGCTATCTTTTCAAGAATGTACATGTAAAAAATTCCACGGCCATAACGTAATGACAAAATACGCTGGAAGAAAATTACTAAAATCAAGGCGTAACAAAATGATGAGTCCTTGTTGTAGGTGCGTCCCATTTTAATTATCTTATGATTCAGTTCTACATAATACGCGTTTTGTTTTCCTAAGTTACAAAAGAAAATCCTGGCCATGAGCTAAATTAACTAGCAGAAGGGTGTAGACACTCCAAGAAGCATTCTTATGTTTACTGCTTAAAAAACTTTAAGTTAATGAATAGAGCGTTTTAAAATAATTGTGTTCCATAACAAGTAGTGTTGCCAAACAGATGGACGCTTTTAAATTACAGGGCCTGGTGGAAGAGTTATGGTGAGGGAATTACAATCACATTGCAGTTATTATGGTGTCAGTAGTTATCTTTTAGATATGCGCGCAGGTTGAATGCATGCATAATATTTTGTGTTGTTTTGTCGAAGACAAAGTGCATAGTGACATAGAAACTAAGAGATAAAGCATCAACGACTAAGTTAAGTAAGTAAGTCACTTATAATTATTTTTTAATAGAAATCAGTTGAAAAAAATATTAATTAATACATATTTTTCTAATAAAGATATTCTTCAAGAATGGTGGATAATGTAATTAATTATTTGATCAATAATTTTAATGCTCGTAGCAAGAGGTACATTAATTACGCTGAAACTTTATCTCCACTGTACCCATAAGTGTATTTACAGTGAGAATTCAGATTAGAAATTGCATTTCGGACTTAAAAAAATATAAAACCAATCAATTACTTTCGCGTAAAACTCTTTCACCGACTTATTCTTCACCATCACTGAACCATGAGAAATAAAGATCAGTTTAGCACAAGTTCCAAAATTATAATTCCGAATAGTTTTGCACGTACAGTGAATACGAAACCGGCGATAACAAAAATATTTCACGCTTGCTAGAGCGACCCTGTTTCGTCTATTGTCTATGGTGGAGTAAACGTGAAGATTAACAATTCTCCGATGAGAACAGATAAATCATCTTGTTTGAGTGATGTGACTGATTATGTTGCAATCAGGTCAATAATTCGCGAGAAATTTCTAATTTTTCTGTTACAGCAAGAAAAAGTGTTGCTGAAACCACATTAAATTAACTTCCTCTTCAAAAATAAAAGAGCCAAACCATTACACTTTAGTAATTATGTTAATTTATTTCGCCAATGTGACTTACGACACTAACAAGACATAAGCCAACACTTTGTCCCCTGAGTATGTTACCAGTTTCAAGGTGAAATTTAAGTGTAATGGGAAAAAACAATTTGTTCCACTAAAATTGTATTAGCACTCATTCATGAATTTTGTTTCAGATTAGTTCCGATTTAGCAAAAACAGACATTTTTAAGTGATGCAGAAATAGTTTTTATGCGACATGGGTGCTAATTTTGACCGATGGACTGTACTGAAATTATTGGAAGTGGTAAGTGCATCTAAAATAATTATAAAACGAATGCTTGTAGATATGTCATTATCGACGACGCATGTAAACCTTCAGAGAAAAAAAAAGGTTGTAAAACTTGTCATTAGTGACAAGTTCAAGTATAATGAACAATGAGAGTCACTTTTTTCGCACACTTGATGTACTAACGCCAATAACAAGATAATTAATTAAGTCTGAGAAAATTTTACTATGCGATTTCTTAAGTTTTGGAGAGAAGGTTGCATTCATATTGCTTCAAATTCACAATTTTGCAAAAGTTGGTTTGACGCATGTTTGAGTTAACTTGTCCTTTCGCTCTCACTAAAATATTTCACTAGCAGAAAATTTGTCATAACAATAGATAAGTTATGTTTATTATTAATATATTTTGATACATGTGGTGCGTTATATTTGATTCAATTTTAAAGATGGCGATCGAAGATTATTTTAACTTTATACTAAAATTTAAGGCACCTGTATATAATTTTTGTTTCTGATTCACTTATTTTGTTTTATTCCATTTGTTACAGGTACAATCTAAACTTTATGTTTTTCGATTCTTCAAAATTTAACTCATGTGTTGTGTGCTTTTAAAAGTTTCATTCTGTTTTAATAATTTAATAATTTTGTTGTCACTTATTTAAGGTTATGAATTGTGTCAGAAATCTAACAAGAAAAATTATTGTTATTTATTACACCGATTAATTAAATATTCAGAACTTGATAGCTTACTGAATGTTAATATAGACGTAAAACTTAGAAATTATCTTTTTAACTGAAGGGCAACTGTAATAACTATTCATTAATGGAAGAACGGGAGAACACACCTTAGATTTTCAGTAAAGCAAAATTTCTAGTGTATTTCACAAGAATCACGAATTTTTTCTTCATGGGTCTTCTACAAGCCTAAAACCTTTTCCGGATGGTGAATTTTCTGTCTAAAAGTAAATCTTGCCTGTTTTACTTTAATTTTGAAAAAGCAAGGTACAAGAGTTTTCGTTATTTTCTTTTGCTAATATTAATTTAATTCTACTTATTATTCAAGTTCGGTATCCATTATTTCTTTGTACAAATTTGAACCGTCATTATTATCATTTCCAAACTGATCATGAATGGAAGTATGCTCTCAAGAATGGATTAAATCTTTTTAGAGAAATTTTGATTAAATTCTTTACTGTGATTATCCACCCACTCTTGCATTTGACTTTTCCTGTTAAAAAATGTCAGTGGTTTGTCCAGCTGTACTGAACGGTATGGTACATTATCCATTACCACCACATATTTTTGCTACAACTTTTTAAAAGCACGAACAAGCTGGTTAACCACCCGATTTTGTAAAAGCGTCCCCTCCATCGTTTTATGGCGATCTTTGTCTTTATTTATTGAAATTAATAAAAAGTTCCATCCTTCTGAAAAGTTCCAGTGACCCAATGACGAATGTAAGGTAAACAAATCTTTACTAGAATTTAGAAATTGAAGATTTTTTTAAAGTAATATTTTAGCTACAACGACATGTTTTTATTTAAATATGATCTTGCGACCGTTACTTGTATTTGTAACACATAGACGTAATAATTTCGAAAAGTGTTGTAAGTTTGTAAATTACAATTAACTAATAAAAAAAAGTAACACCCTGTATTATAACTGCATAGATGCACAGTAAATTAATTGACTCAATTACTTTAAAAAGTTAAATAGTGTAATTACCTTGCAAAAACAGTTACATTTTCGTTGTTCTCAAGATATTATGTTGTGGAATTTTAGCTGAGACACACTGTATAGATTAAATTTTAGTTAACAGCTGACATTCAAAATTTTCGTCTTTAGTGCATGTTAAAAATTTGTTTTCTCAGGGAGCTGTTGGTACCGCAAGTATTTACTTTGATGGAGGAATTCTAGCTGAATGTTTTTGTTTTTAAGAAATCCTGAGACAAACTTTCCTGTGCTAAACTTTCAATTCTTTAATGACTCAGTACTATGCCTTTTGTTTGTCTTTCTGCATATATCTAGCAGTGGCGGCTCGTGACTGTCTGATCTGGTGAGGCGATGACAGAAATTTGACAATAATAACATTAATAATAATATTAATACATAATCAAATTAATTAAATTAATGTGATTAATGCATATTACTTGGTCTTACTAATTAGTAATGATAGAAGTCTTTTTTCCGGGTCAGTGGTAGGTCCTAATAATAATAATAATATTAATAATAACACCCATAACACATTTAATCAGCAATGTTTTTACAAGTCAAAATTTTGTTCAAACTAGTAGGACTTTCTTGGAGGGATTCGGGAATAGTTGTTGTGTTCCTTTGTAAAGGTTTTAGGCCCATAAAATTTTTAATGTGTACTTTGGAACTTTCATGTAACTTTGCACTTCGAATGAAATTATTTAAATCGTTATATCCCGGGACGTCAAATATTACGGCAGAGCCATTTATATGTTTCGTATCGAGTTGCTTTAAAAGACTTGGAGTACTGATGATTCTGTCGCTTATCAATGGAAGTTAAATGAATCCTAACGGTTTTGACTGCTCGATATTTAGCAAAATTTGCCGACGTTCTAGCTCGGTTCGCCGTGAAAACGGTGTTTCAAGAAGGAACATGACGATATGGTACTCGGCATTCATTTTTCACTCACCTGTACCTATGAAAGATACAAAAGCACGAAACATCAACGGGGTTTTACTCACGTTCATGCTAATTACCCACGCACCCCACAGCCCTTCCGTTCTGTAAAATAAGTGGGAAAATGGTTTAATAAGTACTCCGAAAATGGCCGAGAAGCACCGAAGATATCGCCTCAGTTCCGAGCGAACGCATGTATAGGAGTATAAGAGCTGAGCCATGGAAATCCGTGTCTGTGATTGGGCTTCGTTGGTTCAAGTGAACCGACGTTCTGGCCGCTTCAGTTAAAGAACTAGGAGCATAAATGGTACGGTATTCAACCGAAATTGTCAGCAGAAAGCGTAAAAAATAAAAAATCGTCTACAGATTTGCCATTTCAACATATTTTTCTAACTGAAAATGCATTGAAAGTTCATTTTTAATTACAAATTAACTCAATCTGTTCTTAAGATATATGCTGTGAGGCGCCGCCTCACTTGCCTCATCTGACGAGCCGCCACTGATATCTAGTCAACATTCTTTTTTTAGTGCAAATTACATATTGGAATACATCAATTATCAGTAGCGGCTTGTGACCCTTTGAAATGGGGGGACACAATTTGATTGATTAGTTAAATATGAAGATATAAAGCAGGTTGTTATTACCAATTAATAGACATAAATACATTCAATAAAAGTAAAAAGTATTTGTCCACATATCTTCGTGTCATAGATCATCGATGCCAGTATTAATTCAGGGCGATGGTTTTAACTCATTACCGAGGAGAGTCACAAAACAAAACAATTTATTATTTTTTTCACAACCGCACATCCACGAATATTTATTATACGTGTTACGTCTATTAAAATATCTATGAAAGTTTCTCGTTTGCCATGAACACTTTTTTTTTATTAATAAAACGGGGGTGGCTCTCCTTACAATTTTACGGTCTTGACACAGGGAACGATTTTTTATTAAATATTCAACCAAATTAATTATTTTTATTTAAAATCAAACAATTTCACTCTCGCAGAATGAAAATTAAATCCCGCAATTGAGTTACTGCTGGTGGGCACTGTCGGAACAGGACCCGAATCCAGCTCAATACCGCGACTAGACGCACGGTTTCCATGGTAACGGTGTAAAGAAAACGTCTGATTTGATCTCCGTCTCCGCTTTTATAAGCACTTCATCAGCAATAACATATCGTATATTCAAGACACAACATCTTTAGGTGTAAGTTTTGATATATTTTATACAAGTGGAACGAGATAAAAAAATTAGGTTTGATAATTATTAGACAAATTTCCGGATAATTTTTTAAATATTGAACATGTTAAATTGACCGAAAACATCAATTACTGAGTTGCATTACCTTTTCAGTGCCTTCGTTTTTATCGAAAGAGCAAAAAATATGATTAAAAGGCATGGACTTGTGACGATTTTTTTTTATAAATTTCTTTTTACCAGATTACTGACAATTAGTGGTTTTTACTGCTATCTCGGTATTAGGTTTAACGACTCACAGATATAACAATAATATGGTGGAAATGTAGCAGATTTAATAAAGGACACGAATTCGGAGCATTTTCGATACTTATTTCCCCTAAAGGAGGCTGTGTGATGAGCGCACCAGGGTAAGACAGAGAGAGACAGAGAGAGAGAGACACACAGAGAGAGAGAGAGAGAGAGAGAGAGAGAAAGAGAGAGAATGAATTATAAAGAAATAGCACAAACTCACGTATATTGATTATATCTTCGCTTACTATTTTGGATCATATGGTATAACAAATTCGGTAAATAAAAGTAAATAATCGTAAAACAATTTTATTCAAAAATCACACAAATAAACTTATTGGAATACATTAACAACACAGTTTTTACAATTCGACAAATTAATGTTACTAGAGGCCGTACCTACCATATTTGGTATATTTTGAAATTGAACACTGGTTTCTTCAAGAATTTTTGCCGACATCCTTTTATGTTCCCAATGGAATTTTCTATATATCTCTCCGCATTACTATTAATCTTCCAACCTCCATAATGTATAATTGTAAGAAGATCTACACTGGATTCTACTCACATGGACGCAGAAAATCTTCTGAAACTATGTCCAGTATATTCCTCTGGATGAGCACGTTGTGTAAAAGTAGTAAACATTTTTTGTTGTATTGCCAAAAGAATGCATTCCAACCAGTTGTTTCGTATATTTATTTGTAAATGAGAAAATAAACCGACTGTATCTGTCTGAATTAGGGACAATATAAATATATATTTGAACAAGTTGTACTAAATTCGGTTGTAGAATCTCTTGATGTGGTGAAGAATTGTCTTGCAAAATTAGTTTTTGTATTTAATAATAAACTTGAAAAATTTAGCCTTCCT